TGACCCCTGCAAGACGGGGACCGGTCCAAAGGGCAGCCGTGGAACTTCCTGCCCTGCAGGTGAACCAGGCTTCCCTTGGGAGTGAAGGAGGAGGGCAGGTGCAAGGCCTTGAGGGCTCCCCCCCCCCCACAAGGCCCAGGGATGGGCTTTGCCAAGCACAGGGCTCTCCCATCACTGCTAACTCTCCTCCACCCCCACCCCCCCAGGTGAAGGATGAGGAGCCTTCCCAGGCGGCAGCGGTGGTGCTGCTGCAGCTGCTGCCGGCTGCCCTTGCTCTGGGTCGTGCTGGCTGTCTGCACAACGATTGGCTTCACGGTTCAGCTCCTGGGCATCTCCCTTTCGAAGAGGTAACGCCTGCCCCACTCCCTCCAGTTCAGCTGGGCAGTGGCTGGGCGCCCAGAGGAGGTGGGAAACGCTTGGCAGAAGGTGGCCAGGCCGCAGGGGAGATCTCAGGAGGAGGGCCAGCCCAGGATCGGGCCTAGTGGAGTGGGAGCCCAGCGGGGAGACCCAGGGCCAGGAGGCAAAGGCAGAGCCTCCCCGGAGAAGGTGCTGGCCAAACCCTTCCCACCCACCCCCGGTGGCCCAGACAGCTAGCAGGGCTTGTCCAGGAAGGCGCCTGGTTCTGCTTCCGAAAGGAGCCTTCCAGCCTTTGTCAGCTGGCTCCTTTTCCAAACTCTCCCAGCAGGCTGTCCTCGGCTCCTCCGCTGCTCCCCCCCCTGCCTGCTCCGGGCCCCTCAGCAGGGCCTGCGGGGGTGGGGGAGGAAGAGCCTGGCGCCCCCCTCCTCTCTTGCCAGCCACGGCAACACCTGGTCTTCCTGAAGACGCACAAGACTGCCAGCAGCACCCTGGTCAACATCCTGCACCGCTTTGGGGACACCCGATCGCTGCGCTTTGCCCTTCCGGCCGGCTACCAGTTCAACTACCCCAAGCTCTTCCAGGCACGGCGTGTGAAAGGCTGGCACCCTGAGGGGCCCCCATTCGACATCCTCTGCCACCACATGCGCTTCAACTTGCCGGAGGTGGGTGGGAGGGGTCCAAGGCAGCCAGTCTGGCTTCAGGGGGAGGGAGATGGGAAGGAGGGCACACACCGAGGCCTCGAGGCGCTTCCTCCAAGGGGCTTTTCACAGCCGGGAGGGAGCTTCGCTTCTGGCTGGGCTTGTACAGCACCCCATCTCCCAAGACGCTGCTAGCTGAGGCTCCTCCAGAGGGGGGGGGATGCGGAGCAGGCGAGAAGGGCTGCCTAGGAAGGCGAGGGGTGCCAGGAGAGGGAGCGACCTGGAGGAAGAGGCTGTGCACGTGGTCATGCGGATGGCCTGGGCTCCAGCTTCCACCAAGGAGATGGGCCGGAGCCTGCCGTTTTCGTGGGCATCATCTCCTGTGGTTGGCATTAGCACTAACCTCTGCCTGTTCCCCTCCAGGTGCAGAAGGTGATGCCCACAGACAGTTTCTATTTCTCCATAGTGCGGGACCCGGCTTCCTTGGCTGAATCGGCTTTCTCCTATTACCGGGGTGTGGTCCCCGCCTTCCGCCGGGCTCGCTCACTGTCGGAGTTCCTGGCTTCTCCACAGAACTTCTACCGGCCTGGGGAGCGTGGCAGCCACTATGCCCGCAACCTGCTCTGGTTTGACTTTGGCCTTGATCCGCCAGCAAGCCCTGGCTTAGCCGCCATCCATGCTGCCCTGCTGGGACTGGACCGCATTTTCCACCTGGTGCTGCTAACGGAATACATGGACGAGTCGCTGGTCCTCCTGCGTGACGCCCTCTGCTGGAGCTTTAGGGACGTGGTGGCCTTCCAGCACAACCTGCGCAATCCAGAGGCGGTTCACCAGCTGGGCCCCATCGATGCTGCTCAGCTCCGCGCCTGGAATCACCTGGACTGGCACCTTTACACTCATTTCAACCGCACTTTCTGGGCGCGGGTGAAACGCTTTGGCACTGCCCGCATGGCTGGCGAAATGGCCGTTCTCCGGAAACAGCGGGCAGAGTTTACCCGGCGCTGTTTGCAAGGGGGGGGCCCGCTGGAGCCAGGCCACATTGCTGATGAGCGCATCCGCCCCTTCCAGTTTGGGCAGGTGCCAATCCTAGGTTATGCCCTACAACCCAGCTTGGCATCTGGCCTGCAGGTGGTGTGTCAGCAGATGGTCACTCCTGAACTGCAATACAAAGACCTCCTTGACGCCAAGCAGTTTCCCCGCCCGCACAAGAGGGGCGACCTCAGGCAGGGAGGGGAAGCTGCTCACAACAGCTCTTGGCAGAAGCCGTCCAACTGAAACGCCCCCCCCCCCCGGTGCTCTGCCAGCCACCCCTGGGCACGCAGGACGCAATGGGCAGAGGGGCCCTGCGGGAGCTGCAGGGATGTGCGATGCCAGAGACATGAAGAGGCTCTTTTAAACGGCTTGGAATTGTTTAAGACTCGGAGACAAAGAGGGCAACGCACCTTCTCTGACCCACCAGGCAGCTTGATGTGAGAGCAGCTTCCATAATTGGATTTCTTATGACTGGGCCAGGAAGAGCATCACACACACACACACACACACACACACACACACACACACACACACTCCTTGGGTAATCTCTTGCCCTTTGTGCACGGTATTATTTTTCCCCCTCCCACCCTAACAAGGCATCTTCCAAAGCCTGGTAGACCAGAGTTCCTGGGCTGCCTCACTCCACACTTGGGCCCACCCAAGCACTCCTGCTGTGTGGCTGTGGAGCGCCTCTCTCCCCTGCCCCTGTCTCTCCCCAGAGGCAGTGGGACTCCTTCCCACTGGGGAAGGCCAGGGAAGCTGGAGCCGCCCTGGGGCTCCCTGGCTCTTCTCTGCTTGGGGAAAGGAGGCTGCCCTGGAGGCTCCTCAGGCAGGGAGGCTCCGGTGGCCCTGCGGACAGCTCCAGGGCCATATTTGGGGGCCCCCCGAGCCCAGGGTTGGAGTTGGGGCAAAAACTCAAGGACCTGTGGAGGCTTTGCTGGCAAACGCCGGGAGAGAAGGAAGCTGCACTGAAGTTGAGGAGAAAGCCAGCAAGATGCACAGCCAATTCCGAACGGGAAGGAAGGTAAGGAAAGAAGAATTGTTGCAACAATTAATCATTCAGCATTATCTGACCCAATAGAAGGGCTTAATTTATGGAGTTTCACATACAGAATAATAAATTGCAACAAATAAAAAGGCTTCCAGAGAAAAGCCTTTCCAAGTAGCTTCTTTAGCTTTGCCTAAACTCTGCCCCTCAGCCAGGCAGCCTGAAGGGTGACTGGAGCCAGCAACCAACAAGTAGGACGACCTGCTTACGGGCTTAATCCTGCTGGGGCATCAGGGTCACTCAGGGGTGCAGGGATTAGGTAGGCTTTGTCTGGCCATCTCAGGGCTGTTTCTCTTTTTAGCCTGAACAAAAGAACCTCAAGGAAAAGTGCACGGCCTCCCCCCCCCCCCCCCCCCCCCCCCCCCCGCTTTGCCCAGGAGGCCCTGTGGCCCAGCTGTGCCTTGCACAAGCTCCGTAGTCCGTCTGCCACTCAGTCAAAATAAAACTGGATTTTGCTGCCCCTTAAGAGCAAGGTTGGACTATGCAAAAGGGCAGGGTGGAGAAATAGCTGTCGTCCCACATAACCCTGGGAAGGAAGCCATGGGTGTTCCCAGCAAAGTCTGGCAGCTGCTGTGAAGCCTCAGAAGAAGCTCCCGACTCCAGCTCTCACCCTCTCCCATCACCCACAGCAGGCTGCTGGACAATGCCACGGCCCGCTAGATGGTCTGAGCGCCGTTAGGCGTGTCCAACTCTCATGGAGAAGAGCGTGCGCGGCTCCCCAGCCGGAGAAGCCACAGCTGCACAGGGCCACCTTGGCCTTCTGGCTGGGCAGGGAGGCAGGCCCGAGGCTGGAACCCGGTGCCCGTCTTCAGCCCACCCTGAGAAATGAAGAACCTCAGGCTCACCACCTTTGCTGCTATGCAACGGTTCAGATTTGCACCTTTGCTCTTGATCGGCCCCAACAGCCAAGTCAACCGAAAAGCTAGGCTGGCACCTCTGGTTCAAGAAGCATCCATACTGTGGATACACTCCAATTGCAATAGCTCTTCCCAGCATTTTGGCCAGTGGTGACGTTCACATTTTTTCCTCCATTGTACAATTACTGTGCTCACTTTTTGAAAAAGGAGCGTGTCCATGTCAAAAATTAAAACACATTCATTGCTGTAGTCTGAGCCTTACTTGTTTTGTGTTCCTAAGGCACCTTTTATCCTTAAAAACCAAGATTTTGCTCTCCAGAGGGGGACATTTCTGCTTTTGAGGGAAGTGACCCATGGGTGGCAGGACTGGTAACTTTCAGCCCAGCCGCCCTGTCCAGCTGCACAGCGCTGCTTCAAGTCAGGGCTGGGTGGCGCTTTCTCACTGCCAGCCCTCCCTCCAGCTGCCTTCTTCCCAGGAAGGAAACGCACGGAGCAGCTCCTTCGGGGTGGTTTCTCACAACTTGAACCCTTTACTCTGAATCTGAGCCCAGGGATGAGGGCGATAACAATGGAGAAGAAAAATTCAACTCTCAGGTGGCACCGCCTGGCCCGAGTAGCTCGTGTGTGTGTGCGTGCGACACACACAGAGAGAGGGCCAGAGGCCGGTCTCCTTGGGCATTGCCTTCAAAAGCCCATCTGGCCACGCTGAAGAGGAAGGGCCTGGCCGGGGGGAGATAGGCGCGAAGCCCCGAAGGCTCCCGCGGCGCAGCGGTCGAGCAAAGGGCGGGCAGTCAGCAGGGAGAGGCCGAGCGCTTCCTCGCCCCGCCCGCCAAGCTGCGGCCGCCTCCGCCCCGCCTCCGCCTCCGCCCCGCCTCCTTCGCCGCCTTGCTCTCCCGGAGACCCCGGGCCGAATCCGCCTCGCCTCGCCCTCCTCTCCTCTCCTCCAGCACCCGCCCGGCCGGAGCCCGACCAGGGGGATCCCAGCCGCCCATGCCGTGCCGCCCCCGCCCCGCCGCAAGCGCCGCCGCCGCCGCCGCAAGCGCAGCCGCCGCCGCCGACTCTCGCCGCCCGGCTGGGAGCTCGCCCGCCGCCCGGCCCGCCCGCCCGCCGGCATGGAGTCCCAGTGCGACTACTTCATGTACTTCCCGGCTGTGCCCTTCCCGGCCCGCGAGGTGCTCCTGGGGGAGCCAGGCCGGTACCGGGCCTTGCCGCGGAGGAACCACCTCTATCTGGGCGAGACCGTCCGCTTCCTGCTGGTCCTGCGGTGCCGCTCGGATGCCGGCGGCGCTCCCCGGCCGCCCTGGGGGGAACTGGCAGGCTCGCTCTCGGCCCTGGCCAGCGTCAGCCCGGCTGGCGGCGGCGGCGGCGGCGGCGGCGGCGGCGGCCTTGGAGACGAGGCCCTCCTTGGTGAAGCAGCGGAGGAGGGCGCGGCTGGAGCCGGGGAGGCGGCCGCCAATGGCAGCGTCTTCCGGGAGTGCCGGGCGCTCCTGACCCACGGCCACGGCGGCCCCGGAACGACGGCCGTGGCCGTAAGACCGGGACCGGGGCGGCGGCGGCGGCGGCGGCGGCGGGGCTCGCTGCGCCCCAAGGAGCGTTCTGACCCCGGGCTCCCTCCTGCAGGTCCCCCCCGAGGAGCCCATCGTGTCCACCGACGAAGTCATCTTCCCGCTGACCATTTCTCTGGACCGGCTGCCGCCCAGCACCGTCAAAGCCAAAGTAAGCCCCCGCCTGGCCCTGCCCCCGCCGGCGCGCGCGCTCCGGGCGGGCTGGTCTGAGGCCGCTTCTCCCGCAGATCGTGGCGACCGTCTGGAGGCGCGACCGAGAGAGAGGCGAGGTCCGCGAGCGCGGCTACCTCAGCATCCTGCAGGACCGGGCCCCTTCCCAGATCTTCCGCGAGGAGCAGGGCGCCTTCAAGGCGCAAGGTGAGCCTAAAGGGCGGGCGGGCGGGCGGGCGGCCTCCTGCGCTGGCGGTGCGGCGCTGATTTCTCTGCCCTCGGTTTGCAGTGAGCACCATGCTGACCGTGCTGCCGCCCCCGGAGCTGAAGTGCCAGCAACTCAACGTGTCCGGGAAGCACTTGATGGTGCTCAAAGGTGCGCTTGAGGAGGGGAGGGGAGCTCCGTCTCCCCTGCAGGCAGGCAAGGCAGTCGGCCTGCCTTCCCTCCCCCCCTCCCCCCGTCATGCCTGGCTTTGCCCCGTCTCCCTCCCCAGTTCTGAACGCGGCCTCCCAGGATGAGCTCTCGGTGTGGGACGTGCGGATCCTGCCCAACTTGAATGCCAGTTACCTTCCCATGATGCCAGACGGCTCTGTCTTGCTAGTTGACGATATCTGGTAAGAGGGCCAGGAGGGAGGGAGGGTGTGTGTGTGTGTGAGAGAGAGAGAGAGAGGGTGGGGGATTTAAGTGACATTCCCTACTTTTCAAAACATGCTTTTGAGCAGCCCAAACCCCACTTTTCCCTGAGCTGCATTTCCCTAGGCCCAGTTCCAGGGCTGGCATGGGAGAGCCACAGCAGGGCCCCTCAGTCACAGCCAGTTTGAACCCCCCTCTCAGGGCTGTTCTTTCGTTGTGGGGAAAACAGGGGGAGGAAGGTGCGCGTTGGATCCCTTCGCTACCTTATTTTTAAAAACAATAAAGCGGGAATAAAGAAATGTGCTCCGCTCTCACCTTGCACCATGGGTGATTTCTTGCTCGGTGGAGGAAGCTGTGAGGAAGGCATCCTTCCTGGAGAGGGAGGGGGGCCCTTGGGCTACCCTGAGGAGGCAGGAGGAGAAGCTGCCTCCGAGAAGGAGAACCCAGGAGCTGGGAAGGGAGCTTCTCGCATGGCGGAATCTGGCGTGGGATCCTCCTCTTTTCCCAGCGGGGAGGGCTGTGGGCAGAGGCAGGGCTGCATTCCCCAGGCCTAGAATTGGGCAGGGAAGCGGTGTGTGTGCGTGCGTGTGCGCTGCCCGTGTGAGGAGGGGGCCGGGTCGCAGGTTTTCCTTGGGCTGCTTCTGTTCCCGCTCCCCACAGCCACCAGTCCGGAGAGGTCTCCATGGCCTCCTTCTGCCAGGTGCCCTCAGCCAACTCCGCGTGGCCCTGCTCCCTCCGGGCCCTGGAGGAGCAAAACTTCCTTTTCCAACTGCAGGCGCCAGAGCAGCCCCCGGACAGCGCCAAAGAGGTGAGCTTCTCCCTCCCCTGGACCCCAAGGGCTCCTCCTCGCCTGGGCACCTGCTGCACCGAGCGGGAGAGGGACACAGGGGGGCTACCTCTCCTTCTCCTCTGGCACTTGCAGGGCCTGGAGGTCCCCCTCATTGCGGTGCTGCAGTGGTCGACTCCCAAACTCCCATTCACCAGCAGCATCTACACGCACTACAGGTGAGCAGCTCTTCCTTCAGGCCAGAAAGGACGCAGCCAGCCCCGGAGAGGAGGAGGCCCCTTGGCAGGCCCGGAAAGGCAGAAGAGCCCCCAAGACCCATAAGAGTGGGATCGGGGGCCCCTTTTTCTTGCTGGGGATCCCCCTGGTGTGGCAGCCCAGCACTTACTTTGCCTTCACAGCCGCCTGGCCAGAGTTGGCTCCTCCGGCAGCCGCCTGCTGGAAGCACCCCTGAATTCTGTCCTTCTGCTGTTCTAACACTGTCCCCCCAAAACTGTAGCCTGCCAGAGGAGGAGGAGTGTCCCAAGTGGGCGTCCAGACTGACGTCCAGACACCCTCAAGCAGCCTTTCAGGGGGGAGAAGGTTCAAAGCCTGATTCAGAAATGTAGAGGCCACTTTTAGTGTATTCCTTACACAGACCCTGCCCCCCCCTTTTTTTTGGGGGGGGGGTTATGGCATTTAGAGGCGGAGGGAGGGGCCCAGCGCCAGAGGAGCTGGCCTTCCTGGGTCAACCTTGGCAGCCAAAACTCCAGGGGTCTCACTTACCGCCGGGAGGAAAAAGCTGTAGGGCGGAACCAAAGGGAGGTGGCCTCCAAGCCAAGAGCTCTGGGGCTTCAGGCAGGATGTCCCCTCGCTTTCCCTCATAGGCTGCCCAGCATCCGCCTTGCCCGCCCCAGGTTTGTGATGACCGCAGAATGCGAGTCCCCGGTTGCTGTGCATCGGCGCTTCGTAGTCACGTACACCCTCATCAACAACCTGCAGGACTTCCTGGCCGTGCGCCTGGTGTGGACGCCAGAAAGTGCTGCTGCAGGTGAGCCGGGGTGGGGTGGGGGGGTGGAGGAGGCTCCTGGGAGGAGCGGGTGGCCCTTCAGCATCACCTCTTTCAGGCTTGGCCCATGTGCAGCGGCCGGTGGGCTGGGAGGGAAGGCCGGGAGCTGCACAGGCCTCTCCCCGCCCCCCACCCCGCCCCCCCGGGCACCGATTGGGTTTGGGAGCCTGGTGGGTCTTTGGGCCCCCCTTGACCGCCCTTGCTCTGCCCCCCTCTTCCCCGCTGGGTCCCTCAGGGAAGAAGCTGAATGCCTGCGACGAATGTCACGCCACCCCAGACCCCCAAGACTCCATTGTGTGCCACACCCCTCTCAACAACCTGGGATTCTCCCGCAAGGGCAGCGCCCGCACCTTCTGTGTCACCTTCCAGGCTCTGCGTGCCGGCTTGTTTGAGGTAAACGTCCCCACATGCTGCACAAGGCAAGCATGGATCAGTTGGCTCCACAAGCCAGGATCCTCCTGCCGATGGCAGTGACCAATCTTGGTCCCATCCGGTTTCAACATTGCACAGCAGGAGGATGGCAGACCAACCAAGACGGCTCTCCTCTCTTCCCCCCCCCCCCCCCCCCCCCCCCCGCAGGAGGAGGGAACACCCCCCCCCCCCCCCCCCCTCCCCCCCCCCCCCCCCCAGCTGTCCCAGCACATGAAGCTGAAACTCCAGTTCACCGCCAGCGTCTCCAACCCGCCTCCAGAGGCCAGGCCGGTCTCCCGCAAAAGCAGCCCCGGGAGCCCGGCAGTGCGGGAGCTGGTGGGGCGTCATCAGGCCAGCCTCGGGCGCTCCCAGAGCTTCTCACACCAGCAGCCGACACGGGGACACCTCCTGAGGTGGGTGCTGTAGAGGAAGCCGTCTTTCCGGGGGGAGGGGGGGTTAGGAAGGAAGCGGCTGGAGAGCCCCCCCCCCCACGGGGCTCTGCAGGCCTCGGCTAGGAGGAAAAGGGCGGGACTTCCTCCCTGCTCACCTCTCTCCCGCTCCCCATAGGTCAGGAAGCGTCATGGAGCGCCGGGCCATAACGCCCCCTGTAGGCTCCCCAGTGGGCCGCCCTCTTTATCTACCCCCGGACAAGGCTGCCCTGTCCCTTGACAAAATTGCCAAACGAGAGTGCAAGGTGCTGGTGCTGGCGCCCGTCACATGACCGAGGAGGGGAGGCCCCAGAAGGGGCAGCTCTGGGAACCAGCCCACCGGACGCGCCACCCAGCCTCAGAACCAGACCTGCTCCAGACATCTGAACTTCACAGGATGGACCCCCCCTCCGCTCCTCACCCCCCCCCCATTCCCCTCCTCCAATGGGACTGCTCAGCTTCTCCGCTGGCTGAGGGGGGCTGCTGCCCCTCTCGCCCACCCTCTCTCCCCCTCCGGCTGAGAAGCAGCAAGGAGAGATTTTCTTCACTGGGGAGGAGGGGGGGGCTCTGTATGAAAGCCAAGAGGGAGCAGCAGCAGCTGCATGCCCCCCCTCCCCCACGGTACGGACAGCAGCAGAGGTCCCCACCGAAAGGCACCTCCAGCCCCTGCTGACAGGAGGAACCTTCCGCCTTCCCGCCCTGCACTGGGCCACGGGACGGGGCCTGGAGGCTCCCAGGCGTGGCTGCATTCCTAGACGGGGGAGGGCCAGTCTCTAGCCCCCTCCCTACCTCACCCTCCCAGGCCAAGGCCACTTTCCATTGCACTTTATTTAATTTTTGTTATTTATATTTTTTATTTGCTCAGAAGCAACTCCAACTCCATGTATGTGCTTACAAATAAACTGCACTGGCTGGCCGGCAAGTAACATGCTTGATGGGTCTCTTTGGTGTCCTCTGGCACCGTCCCTCTCCCGCCGGTGGGGTCGCCTGGTCTCCAGGCAGCCTCCGCTCTCGGTCCGGTCTGCACCGCTCGCCTAGATCTTCCCCTGGTTTCAGGCAGCCCAACGCATCCAAGGTGGAGACCGCCGGCAGCAGCCATCGGCCCGGAAGAGGCTGGGCAGGCGCTTCTCCTCAGGGCGATGCCTGCCAAAGCAGCCCCTTCCCCGGAGGGCCCGGCAGGGAAAGGCTCTGCCCCTTTCTTGACACCCTGAGGGGCGTTTGTGGGGGGAGGGAAACGCCCCCCCCCCAATAGGGACCAGAAACGGAAGGGGGGGATGGGAGGCACCAACGGGGCTTCCAGGAAGGAAAGAAGGCAGGGAGGGTCCCCCCACTCCCTGCCGTTGGGGGGGGGGGGGGGGGGGAGGGGGTACCGCAGAGCAAGCCTGCCTCCACGTGACGGGGGGTGGGGGGGTGGGAGGCCGGAGCAGCTCAGACGACCACGGGCTCCGGGACGCTGTTGAGCCGCTTCACCACGAAGAGCTTCTGGCCGGAGACGGTCGCCAGCAGGGAGTGTTCCCCGAAAACCACTGCGGGGAGAGGAGGAGGAGGAGGCGGGGCGGCGCCGGTCAGCGGAGGCCCCCGCCCGCCCCGCCCTCGCCCCCCGCCCCGCCGGGACGCTCACCGGAGAGGCGGCGGAAGGGCAACTCCGGGCCGCGCGGGAGCCGGAAGGCGCAGGCCGTGCTCACCAGCTCCGCCATCGCGCCCGCCGTGCGCTCGTCGTTCTCCAGGTCGCCGGCCGACTGCGGGGAGAGGCCGGTCAGCGGCAGCCGCGGCGCCCCCCGCCCCGCCCCCCCCGCCCCGCCCCCCGGCCGCCCCTCACCGCCAGGACGGCGCCGTCGCAGATGACCAGGTAGCCCGTCTGCTCCGGGATGCGCTCCAGGCCCTGCGTGAGGGCCGCCGCCGCCGCCGCCGCCGCCGCCGGCCGCCGGCGGAAACGGGGCCGCCCACCGACCGCTGCGGAAACGGAAGGGGCCGACCTCCGGAGACGCCCCACGGGCGCGCCCTTCCGGTGAGGGCGGTCTGGCCGGAAGAGGCTCCGCCTCGGGATTCGGGCGGCCCCCTGCCGCGGGTAACTCCGCCTCTTCCGGTGACGCCTATGGCAGAGGGCGGGGCGGTCTCGCCTGCCCCTCCCCCTCCCTCCCTCCCTCGCGCGGGGCTCCCCTCCCGGCCGACGCCCGGCGCTGAGCGGCCCGGTTTGCGCGGGGTGCCGGTCACCCGCCGGAGGCCGCCCTGGTGCCGCCGCCGCCGCGCTCCGGGCTGGTCGCATCCTCTGAGCATCCCTCAGTTTAGTTTGGTTTCCTTTCTTTCTTGTCCTTGCACCTCGTACAACGGCACCCAACGCCCGCCGTCTTCACGACCATGAAAATAAACCCAAACGCGTCCTTCCCCCTTCTTCACACGTTGCACCGCACCCACCCTGCCCTCCGCAGCAGAATTCAGCAGAGCTGCTGCCCGGGGACAGAAGCTGCTTTTCTGCCTCTTCGTCCTGGTTTCTGTTCTCCTGTGCCGCCTCTGCCAGACGGGAATGGTTCCCCCCCCCCCCCCCAAAAAAAAGGGGCTCCCAGGTTGAGGTGGATCTTTTGAACTTTCTTTAGGCAGCGGGAGCTCCCGAGCTCTTGCAAAGAGGGGGGGGGAGGGGGCAACCCATCCTCCTCCGAGGGGCAACCACCTCAACCCTCCGGAGCGCTTTCCTGCCTGGCCCCGTGCAATTGGCAAACCACACAGGTGTGCAGGAAGTTAAGATAGTCTCTCTGGGGCAGCGGAAGGAGGTGCCCAGCAGTTTCTCCTCCGGTTGTTGTTTCCGGAGAAGCCTCGGGTAGTAGAATCTCTGCTGGGCCCTTTTGACCAGGGCTGCAATGTGGGTCCCCCAGGTCAGGTCCTCTTTTAGGGTAACACCCAGAAACTGAAAACTGGCCACTTGCTCCCCTCGGTCTCCATAGATAGGCAAGGGCTGGAGGTCTGATCTGTGCCTTCTATAATCCACTATAAGCAATAACCAAGTTATTGTCTCCCCACCACGAAAGCAACCGGTCCGGTCCACCTCATCTCGGTAGGCAGACTCATAACTTTTCCCTTGTGGACACCGAGAGCGTTTGCACCAAGACAGATTCCTTGGGTGTCCAGTCACACTTGGCCAATAAAAGAATTCTATTTCTATTCTATTCTTATCCTATCCTAATTCTATTTCTATCCTATCCTATTCTTATTGTACCCCATGACTATCATTAAGGGTTGTACCTGATGATTCTTGACTCTGATGAATGTCTCTTTTCTTTTATGTACACTGAGAGCATTTGCACCAAGACAAATTCCTTATGTGTTCAATCACACTTGGCCAATAAAAGAATTCTATTTCTATTTCTATTCTCTATTCTATTTCTTTTCTATTCTATTCTCATGTTCTGTTCTATTGTATTCTTGTTGTATCCCATGACCATCATTAAGTGTTGTACCTGATGATTCTGGACTCTTGATGAATGTATCTTTTATGTGCACTGAGAGCATTTGCCCCAAGACAAAATCCTTGTGTGTCCAATCACACAATTGGGCGATAAAAGAATTCTATTTTATTTGTTCAGGCTGCAGAGGCTATTAGTATCCGAGCGAGGCTGAGTGGTGCCTTGGAGGAGCTGCCACCCCGGTTGGTGTTCGGGCGCGACAGGGTCCAGGAGGCTCAGCTAAGAGCTCTGTTGGCCAGAAAGCCTGGCAACCTTCCCCAGAGCCCCCCATCCTCCCCCCGCCCGCCCCAGTGCGGGTGAGAGAAGGAGGCAGCTTAGCAACAGGGAGGTTTATTAACGAAGAGCTCGGGAGAGAGGGACCGCCCTGGGCTGCTAGAGACCCCCGCTGCACCCCTGCCTGCGGCCGGACACCATGGCCTTCAGGACGAGGATGCTGACGAGGATGCTGAGGGCCAGCAGCAGGGCTACGGCCAGGGCCGCGTGGATGGCGGTGGTGACGGCGAAAGCAAAGAGGAAGAGAGTCCGGTGGCAAAAGTCCGGCTGGCCAAAGTGCTCGTAGTCTGGGGGGTAGATGGGATAGACCCACACGTTGCCTGTAGGGGGAAAGCGGGGAGCCTGGCTGGGAAGGGCTGCTGCTGCCGCCGCCGCCTCCAGTCAGCCCCACGAGGGACACCAAGGGTGGCCTGAGCCCAGTTAACCAGGAAACCCCCACGACCCCTAGGGTTAGGGTCCCTCACCCTCCGGCCATCACAGCCAGGCGGCTCTGCCAATTACAGGTTGCAGCTCATGCAGCTTGGGCCCCACCCTGGAAGGGCGAGGACCCCCAGCTGGCACCCCCAGGAGCCCCTCCCCCTACCTGCAATGAACCAGACGCAGAAGAAGAGGAAACCGGTTCCCCGCCAGCAGTTGAGTAGCGTGCTTGGTCGGTCGGTGCCATCCCCGCAGGGAACACAGCTGAGGAACAGCAGCAGGAGTGTAACGGCACTCAGGATGAGCAAGTAAATGGGAAGGAGAGGCTGTCGGGGACACTGGCCAAGATAGACTGCTCCTGGGGACGGAGGAACAACGGAATTAGCACCTTGGATTCTCAGACCTTCCTTCAACAAGACGCACCCCAGAGTAGACCCCTCCTCCTGCTGGCCTGGGCTCTCAGGACTTCCCTCTGTCAAAAGGATTCCAAGTGGGTGAAGCGGAAGGTGAAGGAGGACCCTTTCCTGAAATTTGGGAGCCCAGTCACCTCCCAGGTAAAAACCCCAAGCTGCCCATGGCTCCAACCAGTATCTGTATCCCCCCAACCCCAGGGAGATGTGCAAACCGAAGGCAGAGCTGGAAGTGGGGCTCGGGAGAAAAAGCGGCCCAGCCCAGTCTCCATGGTCAATTCAGAGGCAGCCCATTTCCACAGCCCAACAGCAAGAAGGGCCGGCAAAGCTGCGCCCGAGTCCCCAGCCAGGAGCTGCAGGCCAAGGCAGATGCCTGAGTGGCCAAGCTGCTTCTCCGGGCCACACAGGCCACTGGCATCTTGGGAGCCTTCTGAGCACCACACCTGGTGGGCCTGGTTCACGGAGCACATCCAGGCCCAAGCCAGTAGTACTTTGTAAGCCAGGGTTTGGGTCCCACCAGCCGCGGGGCTTGCAATTTCCCCAACAAACTAGGACCGATAGCCTCGCAACTCGTACACAGCAGATGATGCAGCCCCCGCAGGAGCCGACCACTTCAGAGCGGGTCCAGCAAAGGCCTCTTTGGCACCACCAGAGCAGGGGCAACAGGCCAGACAAAGGGGCTGGGGGGAGGCGGGGGCAGGGCGAGGGTCTCACTCACCAATGGTGATTCCTGCCACAGGCAACGCAGCAAAGAGAACTTTTCCTAGGACTGGAGGAGGAGGAGGAGGTTAGGCCACGCTAGAGATGGCTGGGGGTGGGGGGGGAGCCAGCAAACCCGAGGCGTGGGGGAGAAAGAGCAGCCTACCCATCAGGAGGGAGCGCAGGGAGAAGGAGGAAGGCGGCTCTTCAGCGGCCCTCAGGAGGGGCCTCTCAGGCTGGGACTCCTCAGCCATGGCAGCTGCTGCTGGTGGTGGTGAAGTCGAGGGGAGAACTGAAGGCGCTGGCCGGCTGCCCTTCCCCGCCCAGCCCAGCCCTTCTTAAGCCTCCCCTGCCTCTGGCCTCCTGACCCAGGTGTGGCCCACCCTCCGCAATTACAATTGAGTGGGGGAGGGGGGCGAAGTTGGGCTCCGCCCTCCTTTAAGGCTGTGGGTGGGAGGGGCCGCCCCCCCCCTTCCCTCACTTGCCTCTCAGCTGATGGGCGGGCTGTAGGCTGGGCTCCCAAACGACCAACCTGGAGGAGACAACCAAGAAGCCACAGGAAAGGAGGGAACTGAACTCGGGGACCCAAATGGTTCTGCACCACCATGGGCGGCCACGCGAGGGGTGGGGGTGGGGGGGAGTTGCCTGATCTAAGCTGCCCTCCCTGGACCACCAGGGAGTCAAGCCTATTGTCCTTCACCCTCGTAAAGCTGAGGAGGCTGCACGTGCCTTGAATGAGGAGGGCGTAGGAGCCGGCCACTGGTTGCGTCCCGCTGGGCCCGCCCTCTGCAGTTGCTGGGCTGCTTACTGGGCTCCCCTTGGGGCCTGGGGTTGAGCTTTGGGCTCAGGTGCCCAAACGCCACGCAGGAGTGGAATGGGAGGGCGCCAGGGAACCCCAGAGGGGTCGACCAGTGGCAGCAGGCCCGTTCTGCCTGGTTCCCAAGACCAGGCCCAGGAGGCCCCATCTTGCTCTGGCCTCTCCATCCTGCGCAGCCCTGGGAAGGTCCTGGAGGCCCAGAAGGCGGGCCCCTTGCAGCCCCCCGCCCTGCCAAAAAAAGGCGTCCCTCGGGTGCTGTCAGGCGTTACGAGTATAGATGCCCTTCCTTTCCCAGGCAGTTGGTAGTTTTTCTCATAAAGTTTACGTTTAATTTTTCCCACCGTTTCGGCTCCTTTGTCACCAGAGACAGGTCCCCCGTTCCCCCCCCCCACCGAAGTTGGCCCAAGCTGACCTAACCCAAAGTTGCCCCCCCTGAGCAAAACCGATGGGGGGGGCAAGAGAGTCCTCCGCACAGGGATGCCTTCAGCCCCTCCCATCCCAGCGGTGTCCTTCCTGCCCTCCCCAACTCCATCTTGCAGGCTCTCGGGCAGCCCAGGTGGGTGCACCTGATGTGGCTTTGGCCGCCCCAGCCGAGCAGCGTCCCGGAGGCAGCCGAGGCCCGGCCATGTGCCTATCTGCTCAAGGCGGAGATGCATGCCCTCTCTTGCTCAGCCATGCCCAAAGGGGAGGTGGGTGTGCCGGACAGAGGCTCCCCCGGCCCCTCCCTATTCCCCAAGCCAGGGCAGATCTGAGTCCAGGCAGCAGAGCACAGCCCAAATGGGAGCCAAGCCCTGGGGGGGGGGAGGGGGGGGGACCCCGAGAGCCAGGAGGCCCAGGCGCCCCACAATGTTTACCTGAAGCAGAGGGGCTTCACTCAGCGGCGAGAGGAGCAAAATGGACAAGCTGTTCTGACGCCACCTCACTCTTCCTTTCCAGCCCGCAAGGAGCAGCTGACTCCTCACTTCCTCCTGCTGCCTCTGCCCCTCCAACCCCACCCTGCGTGACTGTGCCTAGGGTGAAGTCGCTGAGAAGACGGCCCCCGGCCCCATTACTGGCTCTTCCCCCAGGCAGGACCCTTCCCAAAGTCCCAGGAGGAGAAGCTGAGGTTATGCGAGGCCTAGTCAGGGGCAGCCAGACCTCAGCCACAGACCAAACCTTTGCCAGCTGAGGGCAAGGGAGCTTTTCTGCACGCTTCTGGTGCCTGGGAGGGGAGGAAGAGGGCCCCCAGCAGGAAAGATTAGCCGCCCTCCCCCACCCAACAGCCCTTCCCCCCCCCTCCCCCCAGGCGCATGCAGCCCAGGGCGATTGAATGGGCGCCTGGGTTTAAGGCCCGTCTTCTGCCAGGTTGCACGGTGGGCCAGCGACTCCTGCAGCTGCCAAACGCCTTCACTTTTCCTGCTGTAAGGCCAAGGCTCCGCCGGCAGCTCTTCTGTCCAAGGCCTGGTGAGGCTCTGTGCCCATGCTCCCTACAAGAGCCTTCCTGGACACGCTCAAAAGTATCAGGTTCGGCTTCCATGAAACCAAGGGGAGCTTTAATCTCTGTGGTGGGAACTGCCGGCTTGCCGTGAACCAATGGGGAGAAACTGGGTGGGAGGGGGGAGAAAGTGACACTGAACTGTGAGATTTCTCCGGACAAGTCTTCACCGTCCTCTCCCTGGGAGAACAGTGACCATTCCCAAAGCCCCTTGTTTCAATGGGATTGGACAATAAGAGATAAACAATGGGAACGGGCCAAGGGAGG